CTTGCCGCTACTCTCACAAGAGGAAGCATAGATCCCGCAAAATCATACGATTTTGCCTATGCTTGCAAAAGCAAAAGGAAAAAAAAGGAGTACCGCAAAATCATACGATTTTGCCTGTACTTGTAAACAAGGAAATCAGAGAAGAGTAAAATAAACGGTACCACAAAATCGCATGATTTGTCTAACGGCATGCCGTTATTCCGCTCCTTGCGGTTGACACAGACCGACAGACACCCTACCCAAGGTTTGTTCGCGGCCGTTCATCGCGGATATCGTACGTGTTTTCCTTTAAATACATTAAAAAAAAAAATTTAAAAACATCTGACTTTTTATTCAGTAGTTTCCCAAACCTTTTGAAGTGAGTGATTATTTCACAAATAATAAGCAATAGACAACAATAAGGCATAATGGCCCCGGGGCCGCCAGACAAAAACTCGAATAGATTTCATCTATTAAGTGATACATCCCCCCAAAGAAAAAAAAGTAAAAATTCCGATTTTTCGTTGTTGCCAATCACCGATATAACCCCTATTGATAAAAAATATATTGTTATTTCTTCAACCGATGCTCGAATAACAATTTCCCAAATTAGCCCGTTTGCTATAAAAAAAGCTCTAGATAGCATTACAACATACATCGACTCCATCTCGATTCTACGCGATGGGAATTTACTGGTCCTCGCTGGGAACCCGCGCGCAACCGAAAAGCTCATAAAGGCCAAATCTTTAGCTAATCTGTGTGCTATTTCAGCTAAACTACATGAGAAACTTAACTCGGTTCGAGGCGTAATTTATGCCCCTTGCTTAAAGCATGTGCCGGAAGATGAAATTGTTCGCGAAATGGGCATTCAAGGAGTGACTGAAGCATATAAATTAACCAAACTGAATGATGACGCAAAAACACGCTCTCCTACAGGAAGGATTATTTTAACTTTTGATCGCTATCGATTACCGCGAACAGTTGATGTGGCGTGGTATAAATGTAAAGTAGAACTATACATCCCAAATCCTATGAGATGTAAAAATTGCCAACGCCTGGGTCATACGGCAAAAAGATGCACTAAAGCTGCATCTTGTGCTAACTGTGGTCATCCTCCACATACTGAAAGCTGTACCCGTAGTTTCTGCATAAATTGCAATGATCAACACTCAGCGTTAGACAAACAATGCCCACGTTTTATACAAATGCGTGAAATTCTAAAAATCAAAACAGAAAATTACTGTAGCGTGGGTGAAGCGCGACGCAAATACCGCGAAAGAAATCCATCTGTAGCCCAAGGAATTGGAAAAAGTAATACCTACGCTGCTGTTGCCTCGCAAATCGTGCATAGTAAGCCTTTAACTCAAACTCTTTCCAATAAAAAACATGTTCCACCATTAACCAAAAATTATATTGCGAAACCTGTTACATCACTTGCCAAAGATAATATTGAAAAAACCAAAGCAACTGCAAATATTGAAAAAATCAAAACAACAACACATATGCTAAAATCTAATATACCAAATTCTCCAGAATCTCCAGCTCTCAACTTTACTCAACAAATCACAAGTGGTAATGAATCCATTCTTTCATCCATTAATCAACCTTCAAAAACCAAAGCAAGTGCAAGAACTCTACAATTTATTCTGTGTACTTTCCCCCCCATTAATTATATGTGGCGATTTCAACAGCTGGAATACCATCTGGGGCTCAACAGTGAACAACACTCGCGGTACTGTTTTAGAAAAGGCCTTTTATCAAAGCAACCTTTGCGTTTTAAATGATGGAAAACCAACGCACTTCTCAACTCATTATACTTTTTCACATATTGATTTAACATGTTGCTCTCCATCACTTCTTCCTTTGGTGTCCTGGTCTATTTCTGATGATCTACATAATAGTGATCACTTTCCAATCATAATCGATCTTAACCTTTCAACGTCCTCTGCTACTCCAGCAAAACAGGCCAAATTCCTCCTAGATAAAGCGGATTGGATCAATTACTCCAAACAGGTGGAGTCATTTTTGAATTCAAAGCCATTTAACGGAAACTGCAACCATGATGCTGCTATTATGTCTAAAGCGATTCGCACGGCTGCTCATCTTTCTATTCCTCAATCCAACACCTCTTTTAAACGAGCTAGGGTTCCTTGGTGGAACAACACGCTTTCGTTTTTGAGGAAAAATAAAATGGATCTATGGCACCGCTTTAAGAGATGTCCTGATCAGAATCACTTGTTATTATACAAAAAGGCCAATGCTCTATTCAGGAAGGAATTACGGAAATCAAAGGCACTTAGTTTCGAACTTTTCTCGAGACGAATTCACAGAAATACATCAATGATAGTTGTCTGGAACAAAATCAACAGACTTAATGGGACTTCAAACCTGAACGAAATTTCTGCCATCTGCACTCCCAATGGAACTTTAACTGACGCAGATGAGATTTCTAATTACTTTGGAAAAGTGTGGTGCGAATACTCCTCTGACAGCAACTTCTCCAGTGCTTTCATTGAAAATAAAAGGACTCCAATATCTCCTCCAAATAATATCGATAGATGTGCCATGTTCCTGGAGAATTGCGTATCTACCTCAGAACTTGGAAGTTGTCTCTCCAATTTGAAGGGGAAGACACCTGGTCTAGACCGCATCTCATACCAAATGATCAGTGCTATGTCTAAGTCTAGTAAAAAGAAATTACTGGACCTATATAATACGGTATTTATGACTGGCCGTATACCCTACATATGGAAACTGGCAACAGTTGTTCCAATTCCAAAGTCAAAAAATGTCTCCATCGCATCAGATTATCGCCCAATTTCTCTTTTACCTTGCCTCTCTAAGGTATTAGAGAAGATTATGGCATCTAGATTATCTTGGTTTCTTGAGTCCAAGAACCTGATAACAAAGCAACAAGTTGGTTTCAAGCGGGGTAGAGGGTGCATCGACGCTCTGTTACATATTGATTATTTCACAAGCAAAGCAATTTCCGAACGAAATCAAGTAACAATTCTCTCAATTGATTTCGAAAAAGCATTTGACAGAGTTGGTCTTCATGTTATCTTAAGACTCTTGAAATCATGGAATGTTGGACCCAAATTCTTCAACTACATCACATCATTCATGTCGCATCGGCGGTTCAAAGTTAGAATCAACAATCATCTTTCTGATTCCTTTCCGTTAATGAATGGCATTCCGCAAGGATCTCCTCTCTCTGTCACGCTTTTCCAGATAGCTTTCAACGAAATTAGCAAAATTCTTTATCGTGTACCAAGAGTGGAACATTGTCTCTACGCGGACGATGTATACATTTTTACAAAAGAAAAAGACAACACGAAAGCAATCAACATCCTCGAATCTATAGCATGTGAGATCTCCACGTGGGCAAACTCGTCAGGAGCTAAAATTTCTTTACAAAAATCAAAAACAATGCACATATGTCGAAAACAAATGTGCGATGCAGGAAACCTACTGATGCATATTAACGACCTACCAGTACTAAATGTGCAGACGCTCCATGTTCTCGGGCTCACGTTTTCCAACAATTATCGTTGGAAAGCACACTGTCTTCGGTTAAAAAACTCCCTTTTAACAAGGGTAAATTTCATACAGTACGTTGCTTGGAGAAGCCATGCGCATATTAACACTATTGCTTATCTTACAAAAATGCTTGTGTTAAGCAAGATTGACTATGCTTTGATAATTTATGGCAATAGCTGCAAATCTAATATCAACATCCTTAAACCGGTCTATCACCAAGCCGTCAGAGCAAGTTGTTATGCTTTTCGGACGACGCCCATAAATAATATTATAATTGAAACTGGTCTCCCAACTTTAGAAAATAGGCTGTATGAGCTAAAAGCTAAAATAGTCCCTAAGCTTCTTAATTCAAACAAATCCATTCTCGGTGATGACGTAAGAAAGATTATTATTTCGAAGAAAATTCCAAAGTCACCATCTGCAATTGACCATTGTTCGTGCATCGCAAACGAATTGAACATTCCCTAAAAAATTTCCCGCTCTTTTGGTGTTAAACCTCCCTGGATTTTGAAAGACTGCTCCTTTGACATCTCACTGTCTATGCACAAGAAAGAAGATACTCCAAATTACGTCTTCAGGAATCTAATAGCTGAAAAAACCCAAGTATTGGACAGTACTGGTTGGAATCTTTTGTACACAGACGGCTCAAAATCTCCTGGTCTGCCTCCTGCTTGTGCGGTGGTAGATGCTACAGGACGGGTTCTTCTCAACCACATATTTCACGAAAGTATTTCAACTTTCACAACGGAAGCCAGAGCTATCCTTCACGCTGCCAACCTTGCCCATAAAAACAAACTCAAAACCGTTATTGTTACCGACAGTTTGTCTGTATTACAAGCTGTTCGGAATCCTTCGACTTCGAGATGGAGCACCATCAACAAATTAAGGAATATAATTACTACACCCGACGGAAAAATTAAAATGTTATGGGTACCAAGTCACATCGGTTTACTGAGAAATGAGCAGGCTGATCGAGCGGCAAAGTATGCTGCTTCTGCTCCTCTAATTATGGATGATGTCATGGAAAAGTTGGATCTTCAAAGATACATTGGAAGAAAAGTTAAAGAGAAAATTACAGAAGGAAATTTACAATACTATCATCAACACTACTCTTTTATTAACCCTCAATTAACTCCACCTTTATATCCAACAAACGTTGAGAAAACCAAGATCCAAACATTCTCGAGAATTCGCCTTGGTCATACAATTGCAACTCACCAATGGATCCTGAAGAAGTCTTCTTCCCCAATCTGCTGTTGTGGACAAACTCTTACTATAAAGCACATTCTCTGCGATTGCCTCAACTTTTCCTCGGCTAGAAGTATTGCATTTGGAACGATTAACCCTTTGAACATTCTACAATCAGCTTCAGAACAGAATATCAATTCAATATATTACTTTTTTAATACTACTAAGTTCACTATCTAATATCCATTTATTTAAATTAGAGCCGATAGCCTGTGTTGCTAGTGCTCAATGTCTTTTTTTTAGTCTAAGAATTCACTTCGTTAGTCTAAAATTAAAATAATAATAATAATAATAAAACAGAGCGCTGATTATGTATGATATTAACTAGGTTTCATTTCTGAGTTTCGATCTTTAGACCTGTATGCATCCACAACAGGAGCGAAAAACGCTTACTTAAAATTGTCAAAACTGCGTAAGCTTGCTTACACTTTGCGTCAGTATTGACTGTTTAGAGTTGAATTTATAAGAAAAAACAGCTGTAAATTGAAAATAAGATAAATTCCGAACAAAATCATTTACTTATCAGCAGCTCTCCCAAACCCAAACTTTTAAATTTGTGAAAGGTAAATAAATAATACTCCAATTGTCTAATTAACACTCTTACTATGCCAAGTGTTGAAGGATTGTGTACCCATACAACGCCTTATTGATAAAGCGCAAATTGACCAAAAAATAATAAAAACTCTTCACTCCATTAGTCTTATCACCAACTGGGCTAATTCATTTTACTAAACGAAACAAACAAAAGGTAAGTGATATAGTGTTGTTATTTAATATCAAGTAATCTTAAGATATATATATACATCAGGTGGAATAGGAACCATTCCTTACATCATGTCATTTAGCACTAGCGGAACATCGAGATTGGCGGAAAAGGAATCTTGTAATACGTATAAGGGCTCTGCGGGGCTCTTCAAACCCTTTTACCTTACGCGAAAGTAAGTAAGTAACTAATTTTATATATTTGTCAACAAAGTAAATTAAAATATGCATACCATTACAAATACATTTCAGCAAAAATTTGGCGCGCCAAAAAGGCGTTTGAGTACGTTTTAAGAAAAATTGACGGAAATGAGTCCGTAAGAAGAGCCACCGTTGATCTCTTTAGGCCTTACTTAGGAGTTGTTGGGGTAAGGTTTGCGACAACGACATAACAATTACAGAAATAAACATTAGATTTTCTGGATCAAGTTACAACACGCATGTGTGGAGGCATTCCAATGACCTTACTTGGAAAACCATTGGACTAGAAATCAAAGTAATGTTTAGACCCTTGGTAAGCAATAATAATCATGTGGGGCAATATGTATATGTACCATTTAAATGCTTTTAAGTGGTAGAGGACACCCTTTAGAGCCGTGATTAACGATGCCGCACAGTACTCCAGCCCATCACATCAAACAGAAACACAACGAAATGCAGTGCAAGGCGGGGGATATTGTTGAGACGTGTATAAAGGTTAGGATTAAATTCATTTTTCAAAGACAATTAAGCTTTTATATACTTTAAGACCGATAGCGTATTTTAATAGAAAAGCAGAAAAGCAGATACGATCTAAGGACGACGGGTAGATTTGCAAATGTTTGCGAAGCGCTTCACAACATTTTCGTACAGTATAAAGTGCAAATTCCAGAAATTCGGGATTTAACTTGTACAGCTCCCGCGTCTTACTTTGACGATTCTGTAGACGTTTCACTCCACAATCTCTCCATTGAAAAGAACAAATGAGGATATAAGAAGCGGAATATCTTTTGCACTTCCAAAATTGAATTGTAATTAAATAAAATATATAAAGAATAAATCTGCTTTAAAATGTTTTTTAAAAATTAAAAAGTTAAAAAAAAAGTAGGATTGATTTGGAATTCATTTTAAGCAATATTGCATTGTTTAGAGGAAGGTTCATGCATTAATATAATATATATTATATAAATAAATTATATAAATTAAAAATAGAGTGATATACATACGAAGTTCAAGTCCCCAATTCAAAGTTTTCGTAAGCAATGCAAATATGAAATTATATAAAATTATTTCTCTTTTTTCTTTTTTTTTTGGGTTGTTCAGTGGAGATGGACTAAGCCAATTGTGGCTTATATGTCCAGATAATAAACAGTCGGAATTATTGGTAAGAATTATATATAAAACATAACAAAAAAAAAACGGCCATAATAGCTAATGCCGGCATGTTTAGAGTAATTGTGTGTGTATTTAATTGTCGATTTTTAAGTTGTTCAAAGTCATGTGAAATGAAAAGTGTTGCAAACTATGGCTGAAAACAAGGAAAGTTATAGCAATAGAAAATGATTGAAGGCAAAAAATAATTTCAAGTGATAAATTCGCTTCTAATAAAACAAGTTAGTTACCCCAGATAAGGTACAGTTTTTGCTACAAAGATATCGAGGAGACCATCATATAACTTGAAAAAGCTAAAAGAACGTCTAATACCACCAAGCTTGTTACATCTAAAAATTAGATGTTCAACAGACTCGCGAACATTGCGAACTTCACAACTATCACAGGGTATAGCACGAATCATTTTTAAATATACTTTATCATAAGACCATTCATGAATGTGTAAAGAATTTTGATTTCCCAGGAATTAAAGAAAGTCTCTGAGAATGGTCAGGTTTCCACTGTATTTGATTCCGAATTACCCCGAAACTTTCGGTGAAGGCTCTCGGAATATATACTTTTAATTTTTTTTTTTGTTTTTTTAAATCATTGTCTTTGACGAAGCTGTCAGTATTACCAGCAGAGTTGAAAACAATTTAGTTCTGCCCCTGCTAACTACTTTTAATTCTAGTAAGCCGTCGATGTTGAAGGTTTTTAGATAATCAAAAAAAAAAGGTCCGAGCTGATATTCACACGTTTTCCCTCGGCATTTTGACAAGTTTAAACAAAAACTACAAAACTTCCTTGTGAAAGATAGTCATACAAATTGATATCGTGCTTTACAATCTCTTTGGCACCTAATTGAGAAAGCTTATTAAATACCTATTTTCTGAGCATTGTCAAACCTTCGGCTATAGCTCCTCCTTTGGGAGATAGACTAACATCATCTCCACCCATCGTCGATCTCTTATTACGCTCATTCGTACAGAAATCCTCGATATCGTCTCTATCCGTGACAATTAATTCAGACCCTATATCCGTACAGGCTGATGTTATTGTAATGCTTATCCCGGGGAACACTTACCAATCCGGACGAAAAACGAAAAAATTATATATACATTTTTTATTTTTTTAAATTTTCAAAAACTTCGTTTCTTTTTTAACCGTTTATTTTTTTTTTAACTTCCTTTTTTAAATTCTTTTATTTTCTGCTAATACCGGCAAAACACTAGAAAAAGAAAAAACAAATGCAACTGACGTTTGCCGAGAATCAAATGACGTGTCATTTCTATTGTTGATGTCAAAGGTATGAATGAAATTACTTCACTTCATTTCATTTTATTAAAAAGTTATCCGCCTGAGTAGCCGAAGGGGAGGAATCTCGACTAGCAAGTCAGTGGTCGTGGGTTCGAATCTCAAGTGCGGTAGAGTTTTTAATAAAAAGCCGATAGCCTTAGATGCTAGTGCTTTTAAGAGTTTAGTCTTAGAATTTATTTCTCTGGCGAAATTAATAATAATAATAATAATAATATTAAAAAGTTTACATCATTTCGTTTTTATTTACGTTTGAATGATGTTGTTATTGGTTGTATCATTGTAAACAAACAAACATTAAAATTTTCCCTTTATTTTTCCATTGTGTTTTCGAAATAAATTAGAATACGGAAGCCGGATATAATTCTCAAACAAATGGCCTTCAATGTACGCCTGCCAAATAAAAGGTAGTTAACTAAAACATACATAATTAGTGCCCATTATTTAATATATAATTATTATTTTTATTGAGAACTAATCATGAGCCATTAATCTACATATTTAATAAAAAGAAACAGTAAGCCGTAATGGCTCCAGTATGCTTACAGAGGTGAGCATTAATATTACCCGTTTTTAACTATGCTGTTGAGCATGCCACAAATCAATTTTATTGATGATTATCAAAAGAGAACATGTGTTAAGCTAACTGAAACTGAAAATCGATTTTATCTAAATTTCAAAGGCATTAAACGTGAAACACGTAGAAATTCAATTTTCTCTAAATTGAATAAAGCAATTCTTTAGGAAACAGTGAATCAACAATAAGATAACGAATTTAAATATTTTTGAAACAGGCAAATGGAACTATCGGTAGAATATGATTGCGTTACGTGAGAATATGGAACTGTCTTTCCAAAGAAATTTCGAAAGCAGTTGCTAAATTGATTGTATAGATGATATCTCGGTATTGTAAAGACGAAAGCTTTACCAAGATTATATATATGGTGGCCAAATATGGATAAAGAAATAGAATCAATGATAGAACCATATAAAACTTTCAAAGAGCTAAGACACAGTTCGGAGAAGAGTTCCCTTGAGAAATATACAAAGCGAGTTATAACAGACGACTGCTATGCCTGCTCTGACTACAACAATGAATACTTCCACTATTACGGCAATAACGTAAATATAATATACATCGATTTTCGAGGTGTCTTTGGCCGACTGGTTCATTTGGTATTCTAAAGTTCAAATATACACTTTGTTCGCGTAGTAGTTGCGCAGTTATACTGGAAAATGTTATATAACACTAACAGCGCACTACCTCTTTTTGCCGTATGCTCTGAAGAATACTAGCTTATCTTCTATTATAGTTTCCATAAAGGAAGAAGAGCAAGCTCCCTATTCGAACAACTTAATTTTGAACTCAGGCAGAGGGCGCATTTAGTACCTCAGTCACGCCGAAAAAGCTATTTTCAAGTGTCTCTATTGTTAACGAACAACTAAATTTTGAGACTGAAGCAGAGAAGAAACAAACGGATAATACAACAGTTCAATTTTACCGACGGGAGCTACCGTGCAGTTTATTTGTCTTATATAAAAATGGCCATGTCCTTACCCTAGAATCTACTCACAAGCACTTTTTTATTCAACTTGAGTTTTAAATTACTTAGATTATTGAACATAAACTGCACGTACAGATTTCCCTTGACGTACATCTGATTGTGTGATAAATAGGAATAATTTTAGTTAGTATTTTATTCGTTTGTTTTAGTTTGACTCGTGATTTTTACAGATAACTTTAATTATTATTTGATTTTTTCATATATTTTTCTACTTTGGATTGTATAGTATGATTATGATATTTTATTTTCCTCTTCCCTCTTATTGGCAATTATTTTATTTTCATCAGATTTTTCTTCTTTAAATCTGCTATAGAACAGAACAGTTAACGTTAATCATCATCATATTTTTGAGAAGCATATAGGTCACATATACTGCAAAATCGCGAGAATTTTGTGCAGAATGTCTTATTCTAATTTTATTTTTCTTTTTTATCTCTTTACGTAACTGCGGATTCAAATTTTAATTTTTTGTATATTATATTAATTAATTTATAGTTTGTTTTATAAATGTCCACGAATTTGCAGTTGTAATATATGTTTATTGGCGTAAGGAAAGGCTTTATACAAGTCGTAATCCATAAACAACTAAACAAACAATAGCAAAAACAACAGCCTGCACTAATCAAAACACGTGATTTCTATAAAACAAAAATCTCTTCAATTGGTCAAAAGTGCTGAGCAAATTAAACATGCCGTTTAATCAGACAAATTCATTGCCAGTGTCGAAATTAATCAAAATGCGCAAAAGTGTCTCCATCGGTTTAAATCTTATCAAGAACAAGTACGTTGCCACATAAAGGCATATAACGTATATCCTTGTTTTAATAAATTCAATCAAATTTTTCCTGAAAAATCGATCTCGGGCTGTTTACAATCTCTGTCCAATCGGAGCAACAAAGAAAAGAAACTTTCTTTTTGTTTAGCAACACATGTTGTTTTGAACCCTTTATTTATCTCTTCAATGTTGTATATTTATTTATCTAATTAATTAAATTCCGAACAAGTCATTATCCGAATGTAAGCTACAAAATAACTTAATTGTTACTAGGAGAAAAAAATAAAGATCAACTTATACGCCAGAATTCAGCTAAGCGCTAAATTGAGATACATGGATATATGCTCATGGATGAAAATGTGCCTAAATTTTCCACTTCTCGGTCGCGCGCTCTAAAGATGCTCAAAGCTAGAACCGGTCCTGTGGCTGCGCCCGCTGCCTCCGCCCCTGTAGTGGGCGCGGCAGCTTCCGCGGCTATGCTACTGCAGAATCGGTAAACAAGGTGAAAGCGATTACTGATCGCCTTCAGAAATGCATCCTGTCTCCAAAGAATGCTTCACTGGAGGCTGCTAGTGAGCTTTTGGCTTTCGGTAGCGAGTACGAGGCGATCTTCTTCGTCTTGGTGGCGGAAAATGCTCGCCTTAGAGGCCGAATTGAAGAGGATTGCTTGGGTGGGGCACCCCTAACAACATCGGTTCCTCCCCGCGTTATTGAGGCTACACGGACTGTTGTACCGCCAAAGCTAGTGGAAACCTGGTCTGTGATTGTCCGTAGTAAGAATATTGCGGACGCATCTATGGAGGTGGTCAAAAGTGTGGTGGAACAGGTTGGATCGACCTTGGGCGTTAGGGCTCACGGTATTAAGCCAATCCGTGGGGGTGGAGCTGTAGTTCATACGCCATCCATTGCGGAGAGGGAGGATATTGTGGCCTACGCAAACTTTGGGGATGTGGGGCTTGTTGTTTCTATTGTAAACAAATTAGGACCGAGAGTTTTACTTCAGTGCATCCATCAGAGGTTGAGTCCGTCCGATTATATGGATAAAC